ATTACAGTTTTAGAAGTTAGTAATTCACATTTAAGCAAGTTAGCGCCTTGCTGAATTCAGCCTTTGTAAAAAAGAGACTTAGTGCATATTGTAATGGCACAATGTGCTTTTGTACCATTTTGTTGACTTTTTTCACCTTATTAAACAAGATCAAGTTCTTGAAAGTTGGTAGATAACGGCTAACTTCCTATGACATGTGAAATTTCCAATGGTAATACAGTTACATTTTGTAACAGAACGTTTTATAGATTTCTTTTCCTATCTTAAAATTTTAAAAGCAATCATTTGTAAGGATTGCATCAACGTCAATTTAGCAGAGGAAGATCAAACTTTATTGAAACTGCTTGCATACAAAATATATTGCACTATAACCAAACAAATGTCAACATAAAATCCAATCTGTTGTTGCTAATATGTACAGAGAATATTGCCCAAGAGCAGTTACATTACAAGGTCATTCTACCTTGGTTAATTATCTACAGTATTTTAAACCAAACAGCTTACAGATGATGTGTGCAAGGTACCAATTTCTGTTTTCAAATACTATACATTCCCAGAATAAATAACTAGAAATCAACATTAATGTTTGGCAATACTTTTAAAAGACTTTTTAATATTCTTGAAATCATGTGCAGTTTGTTGCCATTTTTATATGCTTATTTGTATGCAAGGAAAAGTAACCGTAAAATGAAAATTCAAAGAAACAAACCCACAAAATACATCAGAGGCAGAACTTCGGTTTGTACGGCTCTGTACAGATTCAGTGGTACCCCTACTTGGAGTTATTTTTTAAGAAAAATATAACATCTTAGAGTGAAGGTCCTTCACATATTTTTCCTCTGTAAATCTTGTTCATAAGAAAAAAAAAAAAAAAAGAGAGACTCAAACCCAAAATCCAACACATCAAAAAACTAAAGAAAAAAAGTATCATTTGTTAACCAATCCTAGTCTGCTTTCCAATTCTGCTTATACATTTGGACCTAATATTTCGAAGTTTACAAAACATTTAACCTGCTTCCATTGTTTCTTAGACAAAGTACCTGTACTTCACAGGATTATTATGCACACATGGAAATGACCTTCCTATCTCCCCCAAATAAGCTTGAAATTAAAGTATGAAAAACTTCACAAAACATGGGGAGGACAAAATAAAAACAGCTCTAATTTAAAACTGGTCATCAGGCCAAAGAGAAGGCATATCCTACTAACTCTTGACCAGGAAGATTTGCTCCTAGCTGAAAATGTTTTAGCCTCTCTCAAATGAAAAGACAGTTATTTCTTCTCCTGTCTATATAGAAAAATTACACATCCCTCTCAATAACACTATTTGTCAAACTTCAGTGCAACAAAACAAAAACAAAAACAAGTCTTATTCTTTATACTGCCTAACCTGATGTTTATGTAAGAAAAAAAAATATGGAAAGCATGCATTCTTCTATAAAGTACTAATGTTTGACAGGGTTTGCTACATCTTTTAACATTTAGTGTTTCCAACTTATCTTCCCTGAACTCTGCATCCAAATATAATATTCCTACCTGCCAAGATATAAAAAAGGCACAGATCATACAACTTTTTTTTTGCTAATGAAAATGACAAACGTCACATCACACACATCTCAGGGTCCACTAAAATACTGGAAAAGTGGACCAAAACATAAACTGACACAGGACATGAAATGTCATTGGCCTTCCATATGAGACTGAAAACAGAAGTGTAATATGATTACCATAAATGCTATTTATTCAGAAAAACTGAAATGTACCAGTGAGTTATCACCCAACGCAGGGTAACGGTCCAAATTAAGAAAGAATACCACTGCTTGGTATTTAAAAAATAAACCAAACGAAAATCCTGTCCTGAAGTGCTAAGTATACTTAATTACTTAAAAGTAATGTTTCAGGGGCTTCTCTGGTGGCGCAGTGGTTGAGAGTCCGCCTGCCGATGCAGGGGACGTGGGTTCGTGCCCCGGTCCGGGAAGATCTCACTATGCCAGGGAGCGGCTGGGCCCGTGAGCCATGGCCGCTGAGCCTGCGCATCCGGAGCCTGTGCTCCGCAACCGGAGAGGCCACAACAGTGAGAGGCCCGCGTACCGCCAAAAAAAAAAAAAAAAAGTAATGTTTCAAAATTTTAAGATCTGTTTCTTTGTGCAAATCTGAAAACTGTTGCTTATGGCCAATATGACAAAAAATAAAATTCTTAACAGAACTGGTGTTCATTTCATGCCCTGTGCCACCTTGCCTACTATTTGTCTTTGGCCTAACAAAGTTTCTAATATGGAATAAGAATTACGGAAATGGTATAGGGAATATAACTCCAGAATTATGCCGTTTAGGGTACTCCATTCACAAGTGGTTGCTGACCATCCGCGCTGTCTGGCTTTTCCTTCTTCTGGTTACGATCTTTACCCGTACGCAGCCGGTTACCTTCACCGGAGGTATTCTGTAATGTTTTAGTGTGGACACTCCTTTCATTATTGCAGTCAACTCTGATCTAAAACAAGTTACAGTTGTTATATACACAGACCATATCCTACTGTAATCTGTAATTGGCCTGATGAGAAATTTAAGCCCGAAGGGTAAATTCCACATCTTAAAAGGGGGATATGGGGGTGAGAATAGAAGAAGTGCAAGAAATTATGGTCAGGTAGGATCTTCATTTGGTTTCTGATTTTAAAACACTCTTCTTTAACTGGAACACACTGGTCATCTCACTGTGTCCAAAGTTAGATAAAAACTCACAATCCTGCCATGTCTTCTTCTAAGCTTTAGCTGACATCTTTCTGTCTATCATGAGTATAATTAAGTTTCCTTACACTGAGGGCTCTCACTGTCTTACAATAAAAAAAAATACGAGCGTTGGTTTCTAGTAGCTTCAGTAAGGCTACTTACTTGCCTTCAGTAAGGCAAGTCAGATGATCATACAACTTGAACTCTGAAGAATAAGAATGGTACAGGGAAATTTGAAGACACTAATGTGTGGAAGAACTGGAATCCCAGGAAGAGTGTAGAGATGAATACAATTTAAAAAATAATATTCTGAGATTTATGCAATATTTTAAGTGCCAACACTGAACACTTAAACACTGCTAAATAGACTTCTAAATGCTGTACAAAAGGAAGATAATATTGACAAATGGGCCTAAAACAATTACAAATATTGATCTGCTTCAAGTACAAATGTGACATATAATCCCAAAATGGTCTGCTGTAATTTCAAAGTGTGTTTAAGTGTTGGTCCTGGGTGACTGTTTTAACTGTTGGGTTGTGAAGAGCGGAATTATAAAACTGGTACATAAATGCCTTACTTCTCTGTAAGGCACATGTGTGTGCATTATTTCATCGATCTCTATCTACGTCTAAGGTCTTTTCTATGCTGGTCCTTAAGAACCAGCCAATGGTTAACACCTACTTCAACCGCTATGAATTCTAAGAAATACTCCATCATGGAGTTTCTGCCCTTAAAAATCATCTCTCACTAATCTTGGGTATTGGTCCCAAACCAATCCATAGGCATGAAGGAACCCTAACTACTTGGATTAAGTCTTCAGAATTAAAGAAGCAGCAGAAGAGAACATGGGTTCTGGGAATCAGATACCAGTATTCAAATATCACTCTACCGTATGCCATCTATGTGATTCAATCTTTCTAAACATCAGTTTACTCACCTATAAAACAGAATAATAAAACTTTTTACACTTCAGGGGGCTGCTGAAAGATTAAGTAAGATAAAACACACACAGAGCACTCAGCAAAGGTGTCTGTCTGGACACGCTCAGGGGTAATTTTCAAATTACTTAACAATGGGTTCGGCACAGGTGATTACCACTTGAGATGGGGTTCTCAGAATAGAGGCTGGCTGTATATAAGCAGCTGACTGATTCAGCAAGTACCAGCTGAGTGTCAACAGCCCTGTGTATCATGATTATTACCCTTGAGCCAGACACCTTTTTTCCCTTACTTTCCACTCAAAGAGGACACTCTATCCATGTAACTCAGGGGAGGAGGGACCCACAGGGCTGATGCAAGTCTCTCTTGGTTCATTCCTGGATGTTTCTTTTCTTGGGCAGTTGGTGGGGGGGGGTGGGGGGGCGGTTGGACCACCAATGTGGTATTGAAGTCACACTGAGGCTGCAAAGTCTTCAGAAATACTGAGACTGCATATTCTCTCGAGAAATCTTCTTTGTATACTTGTCGCAAAGGACTAAGACTGCCCACAAATGTAGTGTTGAAAGGAAAATATTTCAATGTACCAAATTCACAACCTTTGAACATGCTTAAAAATCAAGTAAAATAAACTCATACATCTCAAAGTACTGTAACTCAAACAACTGAGATGGAAAGAGGCACACAGGTTTACCTGGAGGGATCCATCTGCGGCTCTTCCTTTAGCCTCTCTTGGATTACGTGGACGATTATCTGTTCGGGAGTGATCATCGTTTCCTATAGGGACGTTTTTAAAAGGTTCGATGGTCACTGATTCTGACATGCTTATTGCAAGTTCTTTGTTCCCCCATCCTCAATTTATTTAGATCCACCACAGAATCTAACATAGGATCAACAACCTAGTGATTCCAGTTACACACTGGCTAATAACCTAGCATGCTACCAAGGAACAGAAAATATTTCTAAGGCATCACAATTCTGCATCAGCTGTTACAGGTCAACCTGAGCTAATGATCAGACTGTGATGTTTAGAATACCAGAAGAGGTGAAACTAGTTATCAGTGTTAATTCATGTATTTATTCTATGTGAACCAGAGGGAAAGGAAGGCTGCCTAATATTGCCAATTGCATGAGCCTTTCCCATGGTGACGAGTACAAAACCAGAGAAATGGGGGTCTTGGTAATACATCACTGAATCAGCAAGGTTCTTCATAGAACTTCAGACAGCTGTTACAACTGACCTTCATTTCTCGACTAATGAAAACCTCTGTACCTTTGAAGCCACCTCCGCGTCCTCTTCCTCCCTGTCCTCTTCCTCCACCTCCACGCCGTCGCCCGTCTCCTCTGCGCAGGAAGTTCTCCCTCTCTTCCTCTGTTGGAGCTAATGACCAATCACTGAGTTCATCTCTGTGGTCAGATTCTGTTTCAGAAGCATTTGATGCTTCAGAATTAGTTCCTATCGAGAGTTAAAAGTTATATACCGTTGTCCGACTTAAAAAAAAAGTTAGGTTAACAGAAGCTTCCAGAGACGTTTCAGGGGTAATCCATTACTCTTCCCAATTTATAAGCCCACCAAAGAGTATTATCACCTTCCATTTTGTAAAACAAATTATCTTAAATTCAAAATGAAGGTCTCCACAATATTTGAGGTAATTTTTGTTTTAAACATTTTTGGTTCTCATTAAAAAAAATAAAAGATTTTATTAGCCATCTAAGTTCAAACCTGAGTATGCCACATCATTAAACAGCTGTGCTCCTTTAAACATCTGTGCTCTCTGGAGGAAAAGTTGTCTACAACAGTTAAATGCAATACCTTGATCAACAAAACCTCTATAAAGAGGGTTCCTTTTAACAAGGTTTGGCCCAGGCACAGAGGGGAATGCATACATTTTGGTCACCTCAGAGAGGGTGGCAAAGGTGGCCACCATGGCTACTATCTCAGGGAAGGGTCTCTTGTGCGATAAGGGATTGGACCTAGCTGAATGGGGATATGCTTGCCTGATGCTTGGTCCACAACCTTCCCTCCCACTCCCACTGGGATAATTGATCATTATAAAGGATTTATTGTAATAAACTTGTTATGCCTGAGGGTCTGGGTTAATGACATAAGGGATGGGAGTGGGGAAAAGAGCTCCACGGTGACGGGGGACTTCAACAGCATAAAGAACAGACTGCTGGGAGAGGGATTAGGGGTTAGGTTCAAGGTTGGCCTTAGGAGTAGGTGTCTCTCTCCCCGACTCCAGAATATCAGCTCTACTACCTCTCTCTCTTCCTCTGTTGGAGCTAATGACCAATTATAGCTTCACCATTATAGCTTCATTCCTGTGGATCTTGAAGGCTTTTCCATCTTAAAGAGTTCCTTTTTGAAATGCAAATATTTGTGAGATGGATTATACCTTATACCATCATAAGCAAGTTACATAGTAGATACACAGTTGAGCAAGAAAGACAGTAGGCACTGGCAGTGGGACAGCGTTCAATGAAAGGTACTGGGAGAGAAGAAAGAAGCACTGAAAGAAGAGCTGAGAAGGCAAAGAGAAGCTTCGCCTACTTCTTGACTGTGCCTAGGGCTGACTTTGGCCATGCCACTCAAAATCACCTGACGAGCCACAGGATGCAGACCCCTGATTTACACAGTCCATCCAGCAAGTATGACCAGCACATGCCTGACAAAAAATGAGCCACAGTACACAAATGAAAAAAGTTTTGGCTATACAGTAATAAAATCAGGAAAGGCCTTAGGAAAGTCATCAACGTACAAGGGCTTAAGCAGATTTATCCCCAGTCAGAATGTGGACAGACTCACACCTGCCCTGTGAACTCTATGTGTTATTATCAGGTTTTTACTCTATGTCTCTTGCAACACAATTTGACGCACTGTGAATTGGAAACCATGTAGTGAGAAACTGTTATAATGGGGTTCTAATGAGTATTAGAGATTAGCAGCTATTAAGTCTAGGAACAGATAAAGTTACTGAGTAAAATGCTTAGTTTGTACCTGAAGTATATCCAGGACCGCGTCTGCCGTGCCCCCTATTTCTGTAAGGTCTACTACCTCGACCCATTCCTTGACCATCATCAGTCACATAGCCTTTTTCCTTATCTGTACGATTTGGTGGTGGTCTAGAACTAGCTCCAATCTGTCGCAACTGCTCATCAATTTGTAATCTCTCCAAACGCAACTGGTCTACTTCCTATTTAAAATATACAAGATAACAGTAAAAATAGTTTGACATTTTACTTAAAAATACCTTTCTCCTTTTCATCAGATAAAAAGTATACTGGAAATATTTCAATTTCAGTTCTAAATTTATAGTAAACACTGTTACACAGAATTATCAGGAAATTGAATGGTCTCCTTAAAAATAAATTTACTATAGATAACATATTATTGATGTCCAGAATTAGAGATATAACAAAAATACTAAGCATTAAAATTATACTGATAGAATTTAAAGTTATTTAATTTGGCACTATTATCCGATAGATCTGCTAAGGCACAAATATGCTAGTTTTTGGACCTCTTGATAATAGGATATTGAATAAAACAACTCTAAAACGTATGAATACAGATAAATGACATTTAAGGTTTAACCAGCTAACCTTAAAAATCACACATTGTAAATAATCTTAATTGAAATAGATTTGCCACTTAATATCTTAATTAACAAAACATTGAGTCTGGGCCATCTTCTGCTTTCAAAGAACATATACTATGGCAGGTCTTTGGACGTGACTATACAATTAAGAGACAATTATCTTCGATGAACTGAAAATGTTTATATTCCTTATATAGGGGAACTATTTAACAGTTGACAAAAACAAGTTGGATATCTTATATCATGCCTTGAAAACCTCTTAAAGACTACAACTCTGCTAGAACAAGTATGACGAACAGTATAGTCAGTTGATCAAAATATACACCTGGGGTCCATTAACAGACCCTCACACACAATGCTTCCAATATGTTGGGTTCTGTCAAATCCAGATGAAGTCTCAATTCTAACCCTTCTTCCAATCTACCCATAAGCATCTGTTTACTAGCTATAGGGAACTGGATCCACAACTAGAGTAGCACTGGGTGTCTCAGTCAAGCAGACGCCGTCATAGGGACCGTCCACATGAACAGTCACTGGGGAAGCCTCTGTAAAGCTAGGTTCCTAAAATCTTGGTTATGGCAGCCTCAGGAAAAGGGCAGGTAAGAATCTAGATGAGCTTCATCTGTGCTCTGAACCAGAATTTGTTTTACAGAGGACTTGAACAAAGAAGAGACCGCAGCTGAGTGAGTGGCTTACTCCAAAAGTACAGTTAGAGCTCATGGAATGGGTGTATCTTGCAAAACAGAATGGTAGTCCAGGTTATCCCACTGGGGCAAAGCAGTCACCTTTTGGTGAGAGATGCCAAGCCCACTCGAGGGAAGATCTGGTGATGGAAAGAATGGCAACAACAGGACAGCTGCTGATAACCAAAAAAGATACTCAATTGTGAAGAACAAATCAAAAGATCTAAGGAAGAACATTAGTCAAAAGAACGAGGGACTGATACAATGCAACCCTAACTCTCCAGGTCTTCAAAATTATTTAAGCTAAGAATATGAAGAAAAACACATACAACAGATTACACATAAAACACACTTTAAAACAAAAGTGAATAAGCAAATCAATGGGGTATCCTATCCATGCAAACCTTGCTGGATGAAACCTCCCCACTTGCAATTATTAACTGACCACCATAAGAATGATAAGAAGTGCCTAGCTATTGTATTTTCCTTCCTTGTTTACATATAACTATAAATTATTTAATTTTATTTCTTTAAGAAATCAGCAAAAAAATTCTTATTAAGATAGCATCATAAATAAAATAGAAACTTGGATTGCTTTAAAAATACTATTTAGTACCAGTTACAATGTATTTTTGATACATATGGATACAAAGAAGAAATTATAAAAGTGACATGGGTGAAATTCTATTTTATCGAATTACAGAACATTTGGCCAAAAGAAATTTTAAAAAGCACCTAGTCTAGGGAGGTGATTTGCCTATAGACACAGAGCTAGTTCATGGAAGAAGAGAGACCCCAAGCAAATCACTGGATTGCCAATCCAGTGCTCTTTCTGCTATGCCTTGCAGCCTCCTCGTTCCTGCTTTCCAGTTTGTAAGCTAGAGGAGGCATAACTGTACAAATACTAACTAAAATGTGCATTTATAAAACAACACAAATTGTTTCTATTTTGTAATAACAGAGTATAGAGAAAATTACGAAGGGTAAACATTTAAACAGAGGACTTCATGAAACCCTGGGATTTCCTTGATAAATGACATAAAAGGGACAACAAAGGCAAGTGTTACAGACACGAAATTTGTCCTGGAAAAAACTCACAAGGGCTAGAAAGGATCAATGGGATGAAATGTATTTTTGACAGGATTGTCTAAAGTGAGTATAAGGGTTTAACAGAAGAATAATGGGAAATAGGGGAGTTTCTTGAGAACTGGGATACTGGTCCTTAAATTTATAATGATGGAAAACTGACGTGTTTTCAGAAGGAATATAATAAGCTAAACGAAATGAACATTTTTTTCTATTATCTTTTACAGGTCTTTGATTATCATGTACAGGCTAGTATGAAACTTAATTGCTTTAAGACTTACTATGGAGTTTTTATATTTTAGTGCAAAAGGTTTCAACGTTAAAGTTCTTCCTGTCCTCACCTTTAAATAGTTCAGGTGATAATCCAGAAGAACAGTGGCATTAGCGATGCTGTCTTTTGTTCCCACAAAAACAAATGGTACCATACCCTGAAAAAGAGATGGCAACAATAATCCTATAAAATTAATGGTGAATTAATCTGAAAAATGCAAATAATGACTAAATCCCTAGCACAGGGTCTGACAAACAGTAAGTACATGAAAGTTTGTTGAAAATATAAACCAATACCTAAAAACAAAAGTAGTTGGTATATTTTACCCACCTACTGTGTATAAGGACAGATCAGTATAGCAACCCTTAAATCCATCAGGTTACTATGATATAAACACTACTAATAAATGTTGGTAAACTCATAAATTATGTAACTCAAAATTATATAAGCTTTAACATGAGAAGCATAAACAAAACGAATACTTTAAAATACTCTAAATCATTTACTACAGATTTTATCTAGATCAAATTCTTTAAAAAATAATTCAAAATTAGATACCAGGGTACAAAAGTAGAAACTAAATCAACTTTGCTAGCCGAGTCAACAGAGTACAAACAAAACACAAACAAGAAGAATAAGAAATTAAAATGCACTTAGTAATTATTCTGTGGGGGGAAAAAAAACTAGGCACATCCATGAGCATAAAATTTAGCATTTCAATATACTTCCATAATGCGCTCTGAACATAGTAAAGGACTGAATCATCAGGAAAGTTTGATCTCTCTATGGTACTACTTTAATATAAGGATAGATTTTAAAAAAGGAGTAGACTAAAAATGTATACTTCTAGCCCATCAGTACAAATGAGAAAAAAACTATTTCTTGTCACAGTTATAGGGAAGCCTAGGCCAGTTGTGCAAACTAATAGCTGGCAATTATGACATTCAAAGTTAAGAATAATTCAATATTCGGCTACTGATGAAATTCACATGGTTACTGATATTCACAAGTGACTAAAGAAAAGCACACAGGAGCTTTGATGTAGATACATTAGAATTCTCTAGGTGAAGTTTCTAGGTGTGAGAAGCCAAGAAGCTTACAAGTATCACCCTTCTAAAAAGAGCATTCAGGGCTTCCCTGGTGGCCCGGTGGTTGAGAGTCCGCCTGCCGATGCAGGGGACGCGGGTTCGTGCCCTGGTCCGGGAGGGTCCCGCATGCCACGGAGCGGCTGGGCCCGTGAGCCGTGGCTGCTGCGCCTGAGCTTCCAGAGCCTGTGTTCCGCGACGGGAGAGGTCGCGGCGGTGAGAGGCCCGCGTACCGCATTTAAAAAAAAAAAAAAAAAAAAGAGCATTCATTTGATAGGTGTGGGTACCGCTGGGCTGCTTTTGTTTGCTTGCGCTCAGTACACAGAGTCTTACATGCATGTGGGGTTGAAATAGGTTTTTTCTTTTTCCTTCCACATGAACATGGCTGTTGATAGGGTACAAAACTAAACAATTAGGAAATACTGCTTGCAGACTGACATCCATCTGGTAAGCAAGGCACTGCTTCCTAGTAACAACAACCACCTAATGAATCAGGTGCCATTGAAAACCCATGAGCTTCACATGGATTTTTTTTTTGATTGAATAATATATGAACTATGGAAACAATCAGGCCTATGACTCAGATCTTTTTTTCTCAAAAACATTTCTGACGGTTGAGTTTTTTCCCCAGCTTTGTTACAAAGCAGTTAACCATATTATTTTCCAAAATGCCCTATGATGAAATGCTACGCCCTTCCCCCTGGATCACATATGACCAAAATAAGCTTGAAAATGCTATGTCACAGATTTAGTTGATCAACTGTGGAGCAAATAATGAAAAAAAATTCTCGTTCAACATTTCCAAACTGTTGATGTACCCAAGTGCCACTCTAATTTAAGCACATTACTAGTGGACCAGAATGGTTAAATTACGACAAAGAAAGGCAAGAGCAGACACCAGGAAAAAGTGATTTCCTGTTCTGGGATGAGAACTGGCCTGCCCAGCAGAGAGGAATATCCAATCTACTTGCGGTTATATTTCTTTTTACAAAATGGCATTTTTGCTTTTAATCTCTTGTGAGTCATAATATTCTCCCCATAAACAGTTCTCACAGGCCAGGTTGAGGGCGGGTGTCTGCCCTCAAGGAACTAACAATGTGACGAGATAACTAGTAAATATCTACGTAGTAAGCGCTACGATAGGGGCGAACACATCGGAGCATGAAAGGGGGAAAGGCTCTTGAGCCCGTCAGGGGGAGGGGACCTATGGAAAGTATACAAGGAAAGCTGCACAAGGAGTACGGTCAAAGCAAGGTGGCAGGTTGGAGGAAAAAGAGTGCGCCAGGCAGAGGAAACATGTGCATACGTCTAGAAGCAACAGAGAGCAGAGTAGTGTTTCAAGAACTCTAGGTACTTCAGGTATGGCTCAAGCCTCTCTCAAGTACAAGGGAGAGGAGTGGTAAGAGATGATATTGGTCAGGGGACTGTGAAAGAAAGGCCCTTATTATAAGCAACAGGAAGGAATATGAGCTTTTTCCCAGGGCAATGGGTCCACGAACCCACAGACACTCCTCCACATCCCCCAACTCTGACGATCATTTGTAGTCTTTCTTAACCAGGGGAATAAACATTAAAATATAAAATTAAAATGTATTTTTCAAGGAATGTTTTCCTACCTGCCAAGCCTTGAGTTCAGGTTTCTGGGATTCCCCTGCTACAATTGATGAAACCACTAACACCTAAAGCAGTATAAGGAATGCAAGTGATGTCATTAACTATAACAAACGATACACAGAAGCCTGAACGCAGGACTTTCACTGCAGGACTTCTAAATCCATTTCTAAACAATTAGGTTAGTTCAAATATTGAAAGTCAGTTTTAAAAATATGGTTTTAAGTAGTAACTTATGCATCTAACAGAGGGTACATTTTGAGCTACTACAACCTGTAAAATTTCAAGAGCTACAGCATGAAAAAATAAAAGTCCACCCTCAAAAGAAAAATGTGACCACTGAATGCAACCCTGTATTTTATGTTTACAGCATAAGATTTGTCACTGTGAATAAACTGAAGAGTAGTTATCACTTTGGTTTGTAATATCTCATAAGCTGGCAATCAGATTTGAAACAAATATAGCATGAGTAGCCTTATGAGCCTAACCACAGAAAATACCCAAAACACCAACTGTAACATTTGGGCTGAAGAAATGACTTTTAGTATAATTCAAAGTGACCATTATTTCTTACCCTCTGGACTTTTGTGCTGTTAGGCTGAGAAAAATGAGTGCTGTTTTCCTTTACATCTATATGCTTTTTTTCTTCTGAAGGAGTAGGTCCAACCCTTGAGTTACTGGAAGGTAGGGAATTTGGTGGCATAATTTCCTTGGTGAAAAACACAAAACACAAAAGAGAAAAAAAAAGGACCAATTTCTAAGACTTTATTTAGCTCCATTATTGTACCAATGATCATATTTTTAAGAACAGAAGCTATTATAAACAGTCTTGGTAAACAAACTTACAGAATGCAAACATTATGCAGTAAAAGCGCACAAAGATTCAACTTCAGCTAAAAGAACCTTGACAAAAGACTATGAAATATATGAAAATTATGGCAATTTGAAAGGATTTTATTTTAAACAGTACCATTGTACAGAAGAGCATGCCCTTACCCCCCCACCCCAAATACTTTAAAAAATGTAAAGCACAGAAAATAAGCAGACACACAAAGTAAAAAAGCCAAAGGATGAAAGCCAGAAGACCTAACTAGTGTCCCAATTTTGTCTCTGTCAGGAACATTAAGTAATATGTGAAGAGTGCTTCAGACTTTTTTTTTACATTTGTGATTACTCATGTTGAAGATCAAGAAATAAGGCTTAAAGGGGTTAAAATTACTAATCCACAATCACAGCATTAGAGAATAAACAGAGGCCGTTATCTACAACTGCAATTAACTGGAATGCCTGATAGACTTTTTACATTCACATTATGTGCATATTGGAGGCCTCTAAGTTACTATCTCAAATAAGACAATAAAAGACTTTTACTTTTATTAGAGAAACCAGAAACATACGCACTAGAAACATACCTCTTCTTGTGGAACATTTTTCTCATTTTCAGCTTCAATTCTCACCCTCACAACTCCTGACTTGTCCACAATCTCCTGAATCAGTTTTCCATTTTTTCCTATTACTTTGCCTAAGGTAAGAAATGAATAATTCATGTTTGGTTTTAAAAACACATACCTCAAACCAGTAAGCACACCCCACCATAAACGATCACATTTTATATATACGTATAAAATTTCATATAATTTCAGTTCTTTCTTTCTTTCTTCCTCCGTATCTGTCTGTCTGTCTATCTATCTCAAAACCAAAACAGAGACTCTTTTCAAAAAGACAGAGTCAAACTGGCTTTCCATTTTATGAGGTCATCATTGTTCAAACTCCTCTGGTCAGGTATTAGAGTTGATTAATACTTGTGAACTGATAATACTTGTGAACTGATACGGGCAATTTTGAATTTTTAAGGCAGTTCAAAGATAGGCTCTTATTTGGCATAAAAGGGCATATTTTAAATGTTCAGCTATAGTGGCGTGTATCATTCTTTCTGCAAAGTTCTATAAAAGGAATTAAGGAAAAGGACAGATAGTAGAAAATACATTGGCTTCGTTCTTTGACAATTTCAATTCTATCTGTACCTGATTGAAATCTGCTTCTTTGCCCATGGCAAAGATTTTTAGAATTTTATATGGCATATTTATAAAAGGTACTCTAAGTTTAAAAGTGGCTTAAGCAGCTATAAGTACATCTAAAAGTACACATTCTTCAGGCCAATGTGTTAGTGGACTACTACTCTTGTGCATTACTCACAAATTATATTAGTATGTTAGAAGGTAAAGGGATTAGTCAGAATAAAAGATTAAGAAATCACACTTTTAACTTAAAACCACAATGGAAAAGCTTAAAACCAATTCAAGATTAAGTTTTATCAGTATCATCTGTTAAAACTCCAAAGACTTCAAATACCAGTAATGAATGGGCACTCGATTCTCTCTCATTTTATAAAATTTAATCATATACTTAACTGGGAAATGACTGCTTTCACAGCCATCATCATGCATTAGTGTAAAGCAAGACATTACAAATATTAAGAACAAGGGATTCTAGAAATCTACATGTGAATTACATCTGATTCCAAGGGCTCTCCCAAGGTTCTTAAAGCACCCAGCACTGGCCCCGCCCATCATGTGCTTGCCCCACCATTTCACCTGAGGTAGGGATGGGGAAAAAACGGGAATCGAAAATTTGCTGAGCCAATCCTAAATAAGAATGCAGGGAAAGCCCTGTCAAAGCACAACCTTGTGGTTCTTCTAATCAGCATAGCCTTGGCACTCTTGCTTTGCGTGCCAGCCTCACTCACCCCCATAACCTCTTCTGACTGGTCATAACCTGCATGACTGGTCAGTGGTCAGGGAAAAGAACTGACACCACTAAATCAGGACTCCTGATTTAGGTCTTTCTGTCAATTATTTCAGCTCTTCTTCCCTTCAAATGAAAAGGGGTGGAGGAAGGAGAGAGTCTTCCCATGGTTTTTTTCTTTATGTCTATAACACTTATTAGACCAATTCACTGTCAAAGTGGGTGAAAAACAAGCAAATTTTTAGAAAAGAAAGATAAATCAGTGTACGTACCAAAGAGAGTTTGTGGGAAATAAGAGAGATCATAAGTCATATTGTGGGACTTGAAAACTCATACAATACTTATTAGACATCTCCCTATAGATCTGCCTTGCCAAATTTTATACAAAAACGCTTTCTGAAAACTCCCAACATTCCCAGTGCTGGAAGAGACAGCCTCTAAAACAGAACTGTCTTATTTTTCTAGGTAGGAACAAAATGAAAATCAGGCTTTCTGGTGAAAGGTCACTGCTGGGATCCTCTTCTGTTTAGGTAAGACCACAGGTAGAATCTACTTTTAATAGCAAATAATCCAATTCTACGTTACATAGTTATTTCCAATTCCCAACTGACAGCTTACTATAATTCTGCTCTACCGAACTGGAATTGTTTTGAATAGGGGAAGGAAAGAGAACTACATTTACAGAGTCCCCTACTATATCCAGAGCTTATGTAATTATATCTTTATCTATAACTATCTATCTATATCTTCCTATTTAATTATCACAATCCTATACGGTAGACACTATGATCACATTTGTTTTAGAGGTGAGGAAAGTAGACTCAAGGAGGCTAAGTCAGTTGCCCAAGGCCAAATAGCGACCAAAAAGTGAAGTAGAGCTGAAATCTGGGTCCAGCGCCTACACCCAAGACCTTTCCCTATCATCAAGCCATCTCCAAAATGAACTTTCGTGAATCTGACACATAAGTTTTTATTCAGTAATTTTTGAAAAAACTGTCTAATGGTTATATTTTCTAAGAATTTCTAAATTTAAAATAACTTTTCTAACTATAAAATGTAGGCAATTGCTTGACAAACTGCAAATAAGAGGAAAATAAATATCATTCACAACCCCACTTATCCTGAGGTAACCAGGATGGTGCTAATCACACATTTCCCATACACACAACTGGTGTGCAAGTTACCTCAGTAACATTACATAGTCATGCTCTTCGGTTGTCTGTAGTATATAGTTGAGAAAATAATTCTGCATTATTTCACTAGTATTTTATACTTCATCTTCAAACTAATTGTCTTTGGGAGAAAAATACTATTCCAAGTGTTTTTTAATGGCATAGGAAGATGTTTATAATTCTATGCTGATAAAAAGAGCAGGCTAAGTAGAACTGAAAGTAGGTGAAAAAAATGCATAGAAAGTCCTTATCTTCTCCTTTAAACATTCCAAAGGGCATGCATTACTTTTTATAATCAGTCATGATATCAAGTTAAAAATTTTTTTAAATGTATAGGCAGTGTGTCCCAATTTTATTTATAAATTTAAAACATATGTAGTATTCTTGATAAAACTGCACTTTGTTGATATGTTCTACTAAAGATACAGAGTTCCCATGTGTTTGCTGGTACTCGTGATTGGTGATGATCATGAAACAAGTCAAAATGAAGAATTACAGTTGACGTTGCAGAAAGCCCTAGAGACATTCGGAATTACTTCTAGCTTTGGAACTTATTAGATTTAAGTAACCTATATTCAGATCTTCAACTCTGAGATAATGAAGAGTGCTATCATTTTATAGCCCCATTAGAGAGATCAAATACCAGTCTATTCCAAATTATAAAAAGCCCCCAAATGTCATTAATTTTGAAAAAAACATATTTAAGATATAAATACATATAGTGAAGAGGCTGTGCAAAATTTATCCTTCCAGGAACCAGTAGGTTTGAACTAGCAAAGCAGTATCTTTTGCACACCTTCTGAAAATGTAATCTTTGACTGTATTTACCAAATATTTTTTGTACACTGTAGCAACAGACTATTTCAAAGACTAAGCTTCAGCTAAGTGACTCCCCAAGTGAGTGAAAATGGAATTCTATCGGTATAAATAAACTGTTTACCTAACTTTTGCTTTTGTAGTGTGTGTCAAAAGCAATTGACGACTCACCTACTAAGTTCCTTGGAACTTGTATGACGTCTTCAGCAAATTCCAGAAAGCTTCGAGCCTTTTTCACTGCATCCTGATCCTAATACAAATGGGGAAAAGATTTAAATCAACAAAAGATGAGCCAGCTAAAATACTATTTTTTATTTTAGAAAAACACTATTTAGTAAAATATTTACCTCCCCATAAATATGAAATGTGCAGGTATCTTCATCTAGATCGATAGCTGTGACCCCAGGTACCTTTCTAGCTTGCTGAATATTAGCACCATGAGTACCAATAGCTAGACCCATCAGATCTTCTCGTACGATAAACTGTTCGTGAAACCTTGAGGCAAGTTGCCTTGAACTCTGAAGAGAAACACACATCTGATTAGTATGCTTTATCAACTATTAAGACAACTGTATTTAGGTCAGCCATGTAAATTATCTTGACCCTGTATATCAGGGACCTATAAATCAGTTTCACTTGGAAACTAACAGGTTTAAGAAAATATTTCGCACAGCGTAAGTACTTTTTAGGTCACTAAAGGTCTATGCCATTTGATATATTTTTGTTAACAGGAAAGGGCTTGTTGACAATTTTCCAAGGTAACTTTTGCAAACCTATTTGCAAGGCTGCCTTAGTTAACCAATGACATCAATGTAATACTTAAGAAGCAGATCAAATGTTCCCAAATAAAAACCAGCTCACTGGGTCTGACAGACTCAATATTAATTAAGTAAAAAAAAAATTTAAATACCATCTTTACAGAAAATTGTATTCATTTCATTTTTTAATTCATTTTCATTGGAGTATGGTTGCTTTACAATGTTGTGTTTCATTTCATTTTATTAAAGGATATTGGTGTGTGTGTGTGTGCATATATTTTTTTTTCTAGAAAGTGCCATTTACATAACTTATCACTAGATACTGTGGGCCTAGATAGTCCTCTGATGAAGTGATGACATTAGAAAGACACCCTCCCACCCCCATCCCCAACCTGAGTAAAGGAATCATAAAAATTTTGGTATAGTAATTAAATTGAATGATCACAGAGTATCAAAGATTTACAGCTTATCTTACATATGTGCCTGCAACCTAAAATGAGATCAGAGTCTGTAAGACCTTGTGATCTGGATCCACAAGTAAGATGAATTCTTTCAAATATTCAGTGATGACTGAACTAGGTTATACTGACACCTCAAACTTGTGGATAATCACTCTCTTTAGATAGTATTATCAAAATTTAATGTTTAGTTCTAGCATGCCATTAATGAAAACCAAACATATTAGTGGCTCATGTTGAAAAATGGAAATTTCGTATCTGAATATGTGGATCTCTTTAATATTAGTAGTGAGAAAAGATAGGCATGCACGCTAGTTTCTCATTATTCAACATACCTGATAATTTGAATGAATGAGTGTAACTACTATAAACAATTTAAAAAGTATAAAATCCTTTTTTGTAGATTAGAGCAACAAAATGTATCAAATATTCCTAGGACTTTTCAAGAGGTCATGTTTTTTGAGTCCTGGTTCATTCACCTGGTTCATTCTTTTCAATTGATAATTCACTGATAAATGATAAGCCAAAGGTATGATAACAGACCATTTAAGAAGAATTAGATGTTTAAGAAGAGGTAAATGAGTATATTTCCACAATACTCACAATGAAAGTAAGGAGGCTGTTCTGGCCTAAAAGCTATGAGAGAATCACTAAAGAAACCACAAACTTGTGAACACAGGGACATCAAGAAAGAATGAGAGTAAAAAACCAATTAAATAGACCTCCATATGGCCGTAAGGAAAACAAAGTAGCAAAAGGAGATATGAATGTCTCCTCTCCTGCTGAGAGTTCAGCGATCACATAGTAAGTTGGAAGGTGGCACGTTTCACAGGGTTTTACAAGAATACAGCCTTTAGTAGTAGTCACCTTCTCTCTTAAAATGCAGTTTGGAACTCCTTTTTTTCTTTACTATTTCAACTGCATGGTGTTCTCCCTCTAACGAAATGAATAATGATGAGGAACTCTGGAATCTGACAATAATATACTTCAGTTGGCACATTAAACTAAGATCCATTTAGTTTCTATGGTAATGGATGGAAGTACTAAATAGTTATCAATGAAAATAAATGTATGGTGATGGAAATTATTGGAGGATTAATAAAAGTAGATAAAATGCACCTTAAGAGACGAAATAGTAAGTTAGGGAAATAGCCTCTGGCAGGAATCTGAAGACAGGAGTTTTAAAGAGTGACAACCAATTAGAATGAAGAAGTTCTATACCCTTTTAAACAGAGATAAACATACATAATGAAAGGAATATGATTAGATATTTAAATACTCTCTAGTACTTTAATGATAACATGTTATATGGAAGAAGCATTGCTTCATTTTATTAGCAGCTTTGATGAACTTCTAGTAAAAAGTGAGTTGGCCAGAAGTTCCTTAGCATACATAAACTGCTGCTTAATTCTGAAACCTCAGGCATAAAAATTTTAGTACGATTATGCACTGTACAATTTAATTTTTCAAAATATAGAATATAAGGAATTGCTAAGAAACAATAAATAAAGGACAAGCTGCCCATATTCAAGTTTTGTAAACACACAGTTATTTCTAGATAATCTTACAACCATCCCTAGGGAAAGCCACATACCTCTAGCTGCTTACTGGCTTCCTCATTCCTCAGTATCAGAGACAGCTTAGTGCGCAGACTCCGAAAGTGCATGTCAATCAGCATGTGTGCACGCTTTGAGGTGACTTCATTGATAGACTAAAGGATATAAATCGACATCATTATTATCAAAGCAAATGCCCTAAATGAAATACACCAAAAATAGACAACTCAAACACACTCACCAAAATGACAAGCTGATAGTTTTCTGCATCATAAGTTACAGAAAAGGCACCAACTGCCTTTTTAAAGTCCTTATGTGCCGATTCTTTGGCACACCTAGAAATAAAAACAATATCCACTGTGAAGTTCAGATGACTGATTACCAACTACTGGTACAAATATATACAGAGACATTTGCACTTAGTAGAACTGTAGATTCATCTTAAACTTGATTTATGCAAAATATGCTGTATCCATTTAACAGTTTAGTTCCTTTGCTGTACATTTCTGATATACTCAGGCCAATCAAGCATATGAGATTACAGAGAAAGGAAAAAACCAGTTATGTTCTTAGGGGATTACTGGTGGTCTTAGATGACCAGAGGTGACATCTTTAGGGGAACTACTCTCCCCTGCAGGCTTCCTGATTTCAGTTACATATGGTAGGTCACTAATTTTCTTGAGTCAACTGTTGAACACTTTTGGGGATAGCTACAGGATACCCGATTTTGTTTTGCTGTTTCTTTTCTAAAGAAAAAGTACTGACCAACTTAAGGGAGAGAAGGAAATGTGTAAGAATCAGAAGGCACAAACATACATATGCAATCTCTATAATCAAGAAGCAGGATTTCTGTGTATTGTGAAATACAAGTTACTGTTTATCTAAGGTGTGACATGTCCAAATCAAACTTAATATACGCCCTTGATGAAATCTTTAAAAAGGAATTTCTTCTCTAAAAGGTCTTTAAGCATTACTTCAGATCAAGGATTATAAGAGAGATGACCTTTCGAAGCTTCTTTAAGCTCTACTTGTTACATATTTATCTGAAAATACTAGCTAAAAGGGAAAAAACCTGGACAAATCTCCATTGCCTAGAAATTGATCTGTGACTTAGGACAGAATATCTGTATTAACCAGTTTCAAAATCTTAAAATTCTATGAACAATGTGTATTTTAGAAAACAAATGTACATTAGCCATGTATGTAACCAAGTAAGTTTAAACAAGTGGAATGTTGGCTTGATTATATAACTGGAAAAAGCTAAATATGTTTTTTTCACTACTTTTGCAAACCATTTTTGCCAAAGTTCACTGAATTTAAAAATTGATTTCTATTATTCGAAAACTTATATTCTTTTAAATTAATTGCATAGCACCTCTAAGTTCTCAGCCTTTTCTTGCATACCAACTTACATTTGTCGTAAGTCTTCTGGCACGTCCAGTTTGATTTTATGGAAAGTATCTTTTGTGGCAGGTTTGTTGGGATTAACTGATCGTAAACGTTCAATTGTGACAATTTCATTGTATGTAGCATCACATGCTGCATATTCTATCACATAAAACTGTGAGAAATAAATGAAAGTCATTCCTGGTCACAGCGTTTAAAGTAAGAACAAGAAGCTATACCTATTCAGTTGTTTTTCAATTCTCTAGAGGAAAAAAAACTATTTGATCAACTAACAAACACACGAAATATACTGAACATGTAAACATTTAAATAAAATGCTCAAGTTAGATATTACTTTCAAATAGAAATCCAGACTGAAATGTAGTATACCTGGCTTTAGAAAAGGGAAATCGCATAAGAAAAAAAATTTAAATAGGCATTTTCCTACCTCACCCTTTATCATCCTCACTTTAGCTAACCACCAACAGCAAGGCTCTTTTTCATTTGCTCTGGAATAAACCTACACAAAAATTACAACATAGAATATTTCATGATTAACATCATTCAGAAATCTATAAATTATCAGACATCAAGGAAAATTTCTTAAAATGACCTTAGGTGTCTTTCAAGCCCATAAGCTGTAGACTTTAAGCCAGATTGCACCCCTACTTCTAGACATAGACACACACTCAGAAACTACCTGATTACCTGGGAGAGTCCTGTAAAAAGTGCTTTCCTATTTCTCTATGCTGCCTCAGTAATAATCAGTAATCTGAATATGAATGCTCAAGAAAAGATGACCATTCATAAACCTGGGCATACTTTCCTTGGGTACTTTGAGAGCTAAGAAAATGTATCTAAAAAATGTAAAGATAGATTTGTTTTTGTTTTACTCTAATAAGCAAATAACAAATTGGAAGTTACTAACCCTAGCCTACTTCCTGGCTGCATGGTCACTGAATGGGTAAGGCCGCTGACTACTCAGCTCACTAAGGATACCACCTGGCATTCACGTATCCTGGGAACTAAACGGACAGATCCTTGGTCACTCTCTGGTCTCCTGTCCCCTCTCCACTAAAATGGACAACTCCACGCTGGCAATCCTCTGGATACCACGTTCCTGCTCTCACACACTGTGGATCAGTTCTTCTAAACTGATCTCTCTGGCGACCACTTCACAGTTCACTTATGATGTGCAGCACGGAACCTTTTGTGAAGACACTAGCAAATCAAGGTTAATAGGAAAAGAGACACATGGAGAGAGAGAAAGAAATACTCAGAAGCAGAAAGACAACACAGGGAGGACGAGGAGGATGGGGAGGAGAGGACAGGAGAGAAGACCGGCAACTCAAGGCTCTGACTCTCGTCTCCCTTTTACTACTGAAGTTAATAGTTACACAACACAGAGATGAAATACAACTGAACTCAACCTCCTTTCCCTCTTGCCCCCAACACTTCCTCTCACCTCTGCTCTAGCCAGAGAAATAACCTCAGTTATTTGTTAATTGTTATGTAACACAATGAGGTCATCCTGGCAACTGTGGTTCATTGGTTCCCATCTGTTGTGTGACTAGGTTGGGAAAAAAGTCCCCTCTATTCATCACTATTATGAGCATTCGTGGTACAGACAGACCAAAAGACCTAAGTTAATGGTTATACAATACAGTGACTCAGTACAACTTGATTTAACCTACATTTCTCTCTTGTGACCATCAATTCCTTTCAGCTCTGCGCTAGCTAGAGCAACAACCTCAGTTAGTGAGGTCACTGTAGCAACAGCATCTCACTGGTTACCACCTGTCATGTGACTCAGTTGAGAGGGAAAAAAAGAAAAAACAGTCCCCTTTATCCATCCAAACACTATTATGAGGCCTTCTGATATAGACAAACCAAAAGTCCTGGTCCTTGACTTCAGGAAGCTCGTAGTCTCCTGGGGAAAGTGAACAGCTAAAGGTCCTCAAGTACAGACACTGTTTGTGCTCCCTACTGGGATCCGTCACAAAACCAAGCCCAGTTCCTTTCACCTAGTAAGTACTGAGTACATTTTTGGTAAATAAATAGCACTTTATTCTATTTCCACTATAAAGCTGTAGAGAAAAGAACACAGGCCTGGACATCCAGAGACCTTCTCTGAGCACTCTCTAAAATAGCACTCCTGCCCCTACATCACCTTTCATCCTCTTTTTCTCTTCCTAGGACTTACAACTGCCGTAATATTAGCTATCCTCACTAGAATGTGACCTTGTCAAGGCTGGGGCCTCTTCTGTTTCACTGACCATCTGTACCTAGCACAGGAAATAAGAATTCAAGGACCTAGTACACCTTACCTGACCTGTACAAATGGATTCTTAGCTGCCTCCATCATACCACAAATGCTCATGAAATTCAACTGTTAACAAGGCATTGTGGAGAAGAGAAGAAGCTTAAAATGGAGTACATGAACAGGGAGGAAGAAAAGGATACTATATAGACCAACTACAACATAAAGCAGACTCCAAGTGCCTTAAGTGTCACAACAATCTTCAGCGGCTAGAGAAATCACAAATATAATGTTTTTGTCAATGTGCTACATCTCCATAGCACTTTTTGGTCAGACATCAATGGCACATAAGCAGTTGGTTCATAGCATCTCCTGTGAAAAGATGTTTTACCTGTATGTGTATATACTAAAACTCGCAGATGAGTTCTTACAAATATCCCAGGAGGATTTTCTGCTACTTAAAGCAAGCCTAGGATGCTGCTCTATCGTTAAGGAATGATTTTTTCCTAACCCATTTTACTTAGAACGGGGACACAGTTGTAAACTAACAATATATTATTCAAACAAAAGATTCAGAGAATGAGGGAAGGGGGAAAAGAAATACTAGTGGGCAAAGGAAATCAGTGGTGACTTTCAAAGCTGCACCCTGAGTGCTGCTCGGGCAGCCACACTTAAGCATCCATAATGTATTATTTCCAATCAGTATTAAGATGGAGCGGTCAAAAGCACACATACATCAGAGCTATAATTCTCAATGCAGACTGAAAAGTGTTAAAGACAAGGGATACAAAAGGCACAGGCAAATTAAATGCTCCCCCTTCTTCAGTGCTTAATAACTTGATGGCAGGGGAAACTTACCTCAACTTCATCGCTTTCATTTATATCTTTATTATAACCTACAGGTGGTGGGAATCTCACATCATGGAATGGAATCTGCCTCTCTGGCTGCCAGCTGCAAATAAGCAAATGCAATTATTTAACATGTTTTTTGGTTTAATGGAAACAATGACCATGCTGCCATCAACTTTTGGTTAAGTGTGACCCTTTGGTTTTCTAGTTTAAAGAAGCAAATGCTTTAAAACTGTCAGTGTTCCGCTGAGTGGGGCATAATGGCAATATAGACACATTTCAACAAACTCTGCATGCAGCACAGCAGCCTTGTAGTTCTAGTTGGAATATTTCTCTAAACACAATAGATCAACATTACAATTTTCCAAACAAGTCTTTCTTCCAATAATTTCAACCTCTAAGAGTTCTAAACTTAGGGCCACAACAGCAATTTCCTTTGATGCTTAAATACGTTAGTATCAGTAAGCGTTAGTAACGTCATCACCATACTTCCACTTGCAAAGGAATTGTAACCACATTCCGATGACCACAGAAACTGGTCCTAAGTGCCCTCTAATTCCCAAGCAAAATGGGGCAGTCAGCACATTAGCAATTCACAACTCACTTTTCCCCCTTTAAATTTTAGATCCCGCGAGGCGGTCAGTTCTTGCCATGGATAGCTGGCTGCTGATCAGTATGGCGTACCAGCAATGCACTGGCCTGGTGGGGTCTCCTAAACCACAGAAACCCGATGGAGACAGCCTACAGGAGTTCAGTAAGTTGCCTATGTTTTTTAATTTAAAGTTATGTGGAACAATTTTGAAAAACACCAAATTATTCTTTTATATCTACAATGATATAGAGTATTAAAAGATAAACTTTGCAGAAACACTGGAGGATTCAACTGCTAGAGCAGTCATTTCTGGGTTTTCTGCTAAAGGGCTCTCTAAGTAAAATCCTATTGAGAAAAGTGCTTTTTTTTTTTTTTTTTTTAAGAAGAGCTATTATATAAGATAGCACAGTAGGTAAGTCAGAATTTGTGGAAATATGATTAGGGCCTATATTACACTGAACCCCTTTTCTGTATTATTATACACCCTTGAAAACTCTGAAACTTAAAAAAAATTGTCTTTAGGGAATTCCCTGGTGGTCCAGTGGTTAGGACTCGGTGCTCTCACTGCCAGGGCCCCGAGTTCAATCCCTGGTCAGGGAACTAAGATCCCACAAGCTGTGCAACGTGGCCAAACAAACAAAAAAAAGTCTTTACTTCAGAAAAATTTTTTAATATACTTACTGAATTCAATGACTTAACATGTTAAAGATTCACTGCTAAATTTGATTTGTAAAGCATATAATAATAAAGTTTCTTCATTCCAAAGAATTATTTTGTCTTAAGTATAGAGATAAAAATCAAATTTTTTATTCAAAAAATATGAAATATGGAAGGCAAAAAGAAAGCATCTAAAATAATGTGGTATTATAGGAGTTTCTTTATGATTGAAAGGAAAGAAAGGGTAAATATAGTCTGAAGTTTTACAAAACATCAGGTTTGTTTTTTGTTTGTTTTAAAAAACCCAGAAAAACAAAAAGGAAACGCAAGGAAAGTACTACTTTGGTAGGGACCTATCAAATCCTGGTGACATGCTCAAACCCAGTGTTGAATCTCATACATACTACACAAACACAAGGAAAAAGTTGATCTATTTCAAATTCCCAGGATGACAGCTAGAAGAGAAACTTGTACACAGCTACGGTACGGCAGACAATTAGGAGGTCCATAGAAAGAATAATTTTAAGTTTACAGTAGAAATCTGGTTGAAAACAAATGAGAACTGATCTATCACTGTATAAATAAATACAGATACATTCTTGAATGCACAGAGGAAATAAGTGTTTGCTTAATACCTTAGATTAAGGACTATAGGAGAAACTAAAAGAGTAGCAAATAAAGATAACTCTCCCTTTATGGGAAACAGTGTTTACCTAGTGATGGAAACAAGCAGATAAGAGTATAAGTACAAGAAAAAAAATTACTCTCCAAGTTATCAAAGATTCCTCTGTTAGAGGTGTGATGCTGTTATCTAGTGTATAATGCATGGATAATCACGCAGAGGCACATTCTGGAACTTTTGGCTCTATGTATTCAGAGAAAGGTATTCTATTATCCAAACTTGTATTTGGGACCAAGACTATTTGTCTGGAGCTGAGAATTGGGCTGGATACTCTAAATCCTTTTATCTGTCTCCCTAAATGCGTTTTAGGCATCCGAGAAAACTACAGTTGACCCTTGAATAACTCGGAGGTTAGGGATGCTGACCCTCTGTGCAGTCAAAAATGCACGGATAACTTACAGTCAGCTCTCCGTAGCCACAGTTCCTCCATATCTGTGGTTTGCATCACGGATTTAACCAACCCTGGATCGTGCACTACTGTAGTATTTACTACTGAAAAAAATCCACATATAAGTGGTCCTACACAGTTCAAACTCACGTTGTTCAAGGGTCAACTGTACTTTGCCCTGTTGGCAGCTACAAGATTCTGCTAACATTCTAATTATAGCACGTCTGGGTCAGATACTGTATTTTAACAGATTTATTGAGATATAATTCACATAACCATATAAGCATCCACTGAAGTGTATGTACAAGTCAATGGGTTTAAGTATATTCCCAGATATGTGCAACCATTACCAGTCAATTTTAGAAAATTTTCATCACTTCAAAAAGAAATCCCATACTCTTTAGCTATGGTTCTCCATCCCCACCAGCCACTAAGCAACCACTAATTTATTTCTTCTCTCTGTAGACTTGCAATCTGCTTTTGATACACTATTAATTCCTCTTGGTAAATAAAAGCCAAACATTATAATTGTTGGCCAGACTTCAGAGTTCAGTAAAATCCTAAGATCATGACCACATCTATACTCCGGTTAAGGAGGTTATATGTACTTTATATTCTTGAATGGCTACTCTGAAAATAGCCGTTATGAGCATTAAAAAAATTTAGTCAAGAGACCTGTCTCCCCCAATAAAATGCTAACATCTATACTATTGATGCCTTTGTATAGCTAATGTTCCTAGGCCTCTAGGTATTTTTATTTACTCACCTAGCAGAAGAAAGCAGAAACGATCAGTTACTGCTATTAATGATTATAAACATATGAAACAGATAAAAATGTTAATGGGCAAACAATTATTTCCAATAAAATATACCAGATGACTAAAACCATCAATTTTAGATTTAACATTACAAAACTCACATCAACTTTCCCAGTACCCATGAATCCATTCATTTTCATCTTTTAACATTTACAAATATTCCTATTCAAACCCTCAGTTACTAATACAGAAGAATCTGGTTTCTTTCTTCACATTCAAGGGGACTGAGATGTAAGGATCAAGATTATACAAAAGGGATCTCTGAGGTCATTAGCAGGAACAGTCATTCCATTGGTTTAATATTGAGTTGTTCACGAACTTCCTGGTCAGTAACATGAAGATCCATTCCTGAAAAACACTCAAACTACACTTGAATTTTTTAAAATGAGGAGTAAAAGGAAAAATTAGCATAAAATATTAAAGAACCTAAATATTAAAATTATATCAAGACACTTACTTGTTTTCAAATGCCACTGTTATTGAATCTTCATGAACATCTTTTACAAATGCCTATAAGAAAAAAAACACCAGTTAAATTAACTTCTAAGCTTAAACATCATTTTTGTTTTCAGTTACACTTTACAGATACCAAACATTTTATGTTTAACAGAATGAAGCTTCAAGTGAAAGTTTGTCAGTTTGTGAGGATCACTCATTCATGAGTCACATCTATATTTAGATACCTACTATGTGCTAGGCCCTAGGAATACTCATTAGTTAAAATAAAACACAAAGAATTGCTCCAGAGTTCAGCATCTCATAGGACAAAGACAGACAAGTAAATTGAAAATTACAATGCAAAGCTGAAGGTATACTTCAGGCTAGAAGTACTGGAAACTAAGAAACTTGTTCCAGAGCTATATACCAGTCAGTGTAGATCTGCTGTAACCTATCTTTTTCTCCTTAATACAATTTTAGGAGAATACAATAGTAAATAACTAAATATAATCTCAAATCTATATATGCACAAGTACACTAAGTTCTCTTTAAAAGCAATGTGCTGCTAATACCACTAAAAGTCCAATTACCAGAGTTTAATTAAATTCTCAATCTCGCAGGCACTTGGCAAAAAAGAAATAGTAATATAAAGTACAGAGGTTTAAATCTTTTAAATCTGATGACGCAATTGCTAATAATCTGCAGAAGGACATAACAAAAGTAATAGCTAACTAATTATCAAGAATTCTTTAATCAGCATGCTGTCCGTAATTCTATAAAATTAAGTTTTTAATAGGTGCAGGAAAGGAGGTTTTGTTTTTGTTTTGACAATTAGAGGAGTAGGATAAAGCATAAAGAAACCCAAGGGGCTTTATATCTTAATTCATTTTAAAATGGCTTTAGAGATTTAAGCTTCTTACTCCAGTGTGTTCTGTACATGTTTCTGTCCTTTCGTGGTTTCTCCCTGTCTGCAGGATTATGGTTAAACTCCTCTGCCTGAAAAAGGCCCTTTGTGACCTGGCCCCACTGCTCACCACTCCAAGCTTCATCTTTCACATCCTTGTAGGCTGTGATCCAGCAGTGCTAAACTACTTGGGCCTCTCTGTACATGCTGCTGTTCCTTCTTTCCTATTGTCCTTCCCCTCTTTTCACCTAGCTATCTCCTACTGGTCTTTTACAATTCAGTTCAGATGTCAGCTGCTATGGGAAAACCCAGAAGACTAAGTTAAATTCTATCCTCTACATACTTATAGCATCTTCTGAGTATCCTCACCATAAACTTATCCCACTATAGTCTTTTGCCCATTTTCCTACCAACAGTAAGTTTCCTGAGGGTGGGTGATATAGGCCTTTTATTCACTGTTGAACTTCAGAGTACCTATTAAGGGTTCAATGAATAGTTGTTATCATGGATCATTGCCTAAGGGGTTCCTATCCTAGCCTTGGAGGAAAGGTATGCGGGTGGTGGGGTGGTAGTATGTTGGTCAGGAAAGACAAACAGAAGAGGACGAGGTTCCTATCCAACTTAGGGAGTGGAGGATGGGGAGGCCCAGCAGGCCTAATGGGCAGCAGGAGCAAAGGCTTAGACCTGGAGCAACAGCTTGGGGTGCGGTAGAAGTAAATCCTTTGTGGACAAGGAAGCCAAGACAATTCAATGGGGAAAAAAGAACACTGTTTTCAACAAATGGAGCTGGGACAACTGGATATCCACATGCAAAAGAATAAATGCAAAGCTATGCTAGAAGACAGTTTCCTTGTATGATCAAGGTGGACTATAATGGAATCTAGGTGTTCTGCGATACTCAAAATGGCTAAATTATTATTTCTAAATTAAGCATGTATGTGTATCTTTATAGTTGCTGGTTTAAAGTGGGGGGGGGAAATCCACATTTTCTTCCTATCATTTTGATCTTGCTTACTTTTCCTTAGCCATATTTAAATCACACCCATTCTCTTCAGAGTATTTCAAGAACTCTAGTTTAATACTGACCATGATATTTTAGAATATACTAGATTTTATAAGGGCGCATGCCCCCAGTGCTCTCAGGGGTTTGCCTATTACTTCAGCAACAGAAAGGCTTGATTTTGAGTTAAAGTTGGAGGAATTCGACGTTTAGTTTTATAAAGTAAGTCCCACAAATTACGGAGAAAGGAAAAACAGACCCCCACCCCACCCCAACTTCTCCCTTGTGTTTACATGATGGCGAATACCAAATTAACAATCTGCTTTTTGAGGGTGGGACTCCTATTAGGAGCTAATCCCTTATTTACCCAAAAATGTCTTTGCTCTGTCTCCATCCTCGCCTAAAATTTTATGTTTGCATGCCTTGGCAGTAACTAGTATTAGTTCTTTACTGTATATTATATGCTGAAAATGTTAAGTCCTTTAGTCAGCTAAGAGAACCTTGTTACAGCTGGGTGAAGAACTGCTCTCACTAAATCAGGTACCTTTCCAATACTACTGCCCTTGTCTAAAACCGTGCTGTTGCTCACCATAGAAGCTGCTGGTCATATGTACATATTTCGATTTAATTAGGTACAATTAAATAAAATTAAAAATCAGTCTGAGTCACACTTGCCACACTTCAAGTGCTCAAAAGCCACACAGGGCTCAGTACCTACTGTAGAGGACAGCGCAGGTAGAGACCACTTCCATCATCACAGAAAGTTCCACTGGATAGCACTGATTTAAAACATTTATAAATGTTGGGGACTTTTCAAATCCATCTTGAAAGCACTCTAAAAGTTAGTCTCATTACTTCATTGCTCTATTTTAATTTATTTCTATTTGCCAAAGAGTTATTGTATAGTTTAATCACACTCATTCACCACATTTGCCTATTTCCTAAGATTAAACGTCCCTTCAAAGGAGGAAGATCTGCAACTGTGTGACTACTAAAAACCAAAAAAACAAAAAACAAAAAACAAAAAAAAAGCTTCCAAGTTTTCAAAGACACTAAAAGCAATTCCGGATGTAGAGTGTCAAAAATGGTTTGAGTAATCATCACAGCTTACGGCGGCCACCGCCTCGAGTTAATGAGGCTTACCTGTATATGGATGTTGGCGTGACTGTTCCCAAACCAGTCATTTTTAGCCACTGTTTGCATATTACGTGAATACAGAAGGCATGGAATACCTTCTTGTTGCTGCTGTAATAAGGGGAATAAAAGAAACTCAGAGGTTGCAAAGGTCTCCTCTGACTCCTGAGGCCTTTTGCTAAAAATCCAACAAAGGTCCCGTCTTTCTGCTTCTCATCATACTTTCTCCAATAACCCTCCTTTTCGGCCCTGCCCCTGCCTTACCCCAACACTCATACCCTTCCCTTCCCTGGCCACCCCAGAGCATTATCACCTCACCCACCAACAACTATGGAAAACTATGTTTTGTTGTGCTCTCTACCTATCTACATCAAGCAAAGTTGATGAGAAGATAGGTTCAGCGGATTCCTGAGGGGTTGGTTACCAAAGAAGGCAACTGAATAGGTTTGAATGAATACAAGAAGGGAGCTGCATGGGACTGGATGAGAGCTAGGGCTCTTACAAGGGTCAGTAAACTTAGTGGTTAAGAGTTTTGCTGTGAATGAGAGATAGGTTCAAAACCTTGGATCTAAGACATAACAGCTGCGGGACTCTCCAAGAAATGGTCTCTGGTCCTCAGATGCCTTGTCTGTGTAAGTAAGGAATGGATACAGGGGAACTGGACTTGCCTCCTAAAGCTGTTGTGAATAATGAAATCACACATGTCTAGTGCCTAGCATGATGGCTGGCACATAGGTGGCACTAAATAAATGAGAGGTAAAGCAGAGAGGGGCCTATTTTATAAAAGATGCAGAACCATAAACACTCCTGCATCTGAGAAAGTTACATCTCAACAAAAGCACACTTAAAAAAAGATTTAAAAATTAGGATAGAAAGAGAAAAGGCTGTTTTCTCAAAGATACTAAATACTAATAGGTTATTTAGACTTTCAGAAGAAAAAGTGATGAAAATCTTTGGGGTTTGAGAAAGGTGCTAAAAGTGCAGTTAAAGACAGACACAGTGGGACTTCCCTGGTGGGGCAGTGGTTAAGAATCTGCCTGCCAATGCAGGGGACACAGGTTCAATCCCTGGTCCGGGAAGATCCCACATGCCGCGGAGCAACTAAGCCTGTGCACCCCAACTACTGAGCCTGCACTCTAGAGCCCACGAACCACAACTGCTGAGCCTATGCGCCACAACTACTGAAGCCCACATGCCTAGAGCCCGTGCTCCCCAACAAGAGAAGCCACCGCAATGAGAAGCCCACACACAGCAATGAAGAGTAGAGAAAGCCCGTGTGCAGCAATAAAGACCCAACACACCAAAAATAAATAAATAAATGAAAAAAAGAAAGGGAAAAAAAAGACAGACACAGGCTCCTTATCAGGGGGAATAAACAGAAAATCAAAAAATCATTATGGGATCCCCCACCTGGCAACTGGGCCAAAGAGGCAATCATAAAATCATACTAACCAAAGTGTGTAATGACTAGAGATATCTAAGTCAAACATTACATCACCGGGATTGCTGAAACTAAAAGAAAGTCTGTCCCTATTTGGGTGAAGTCTTACTCTCCCACTATACCTCACACCTTAGATTGTACAGAGAAATTTCAATGTAAGCCCCTGACCACCAATGAACACAACTACTACATTATCACTGAAGACAGCACATGTAGTGCATTGATAATTCTCATTAGAGAAAACTTAAAAGCATTGCAAAATATCCCTCCTAAAGAAAATCTGTAGGAGATAGACAATAAGGACATATGAAATGTGATAAAATACGATTCAAACCCAAGGCTTCACATATAAAGCAAGTTATTGCTTCGCCGCCCTTTGAATGTGGGAACTAACAATGTATGAGAATGAACAATGGGAAGGGAAAAGTACAATAAACCTCATCAACAATTCTTCCAACCACAGTGCATGACTAGGAATACTCGCCTTCACTTGGGCATTTACCACAAATTCTGAGAAAAATGCATCCTTTCTGGTTCACCTTGACGCAAAGACAACACACAGGTATAGAGAGAATAGTATTAAATGAGTTATTAATTTTCCTGTGTGTAGGTATTCTAACTTTTGAATGCTTCAGTTCTTATGTGTTCCCAATGTAACAAAAGCAAACTTCATAGGAGCATTAAAGATTTGTAACTTTATCTTTCATTAATAGGCATTCATATGAAGAATTACAGTGTAATGTGTCAAGGTGCAAGAGTTAATAAAAAGGAAGCTAATACATAAGCTCAATATTTTGTGATGTCTTTGTGTCAATGGTAATATCCTTGCAACTGTACTTACAAAATAATGCTAAGGCATTATTACAGTAAAAAATACAAAGTTACAATGAAATTTACAAAAATGGGTGGGAAATCCAATCCAATTCATTTCTTTAAGCTAAATTTCATCATTTCAGGAAGGCAGATTACCTGATCTCAAAGCCCAGATCTGACCCTTACTAGCTCTGACACTTAGTAGTAACTCACTTACCTCATCTCTCTGTACATCTACGTCCGCATCTATAAACTGGAAATAACAATGGTAACTCAGGGTTGTGGGAGGTGATTAAACAAATTAAGAGAGGTAAAGCACCTAGAACCCTGCCTGGCACCTCAAGAGCTCTCAGCACCTGTTAACAGTTAAAAGCACGATTGTAGTCATCTCAGGAAGCACATTCCCATAGTGGGCAGGAATCAGAAAGCCAGTTCTTATACCACTGAATTTTACATTTAATGAATAATTTGGAGGTTTTCAGAGTGTGTGAGTATGAAGTTGGAAAATGCTCAACTCAAAAGGGGAGTACTGATGCTTCCATAAAGATACTAAACACTAAAAAGGTTATTTAGACTGGGAAGAAAAAAACATGTGGTTGACCTGAACAATTTACTTCCTTGAAGTACAGAAGACTTCAGAGAAAATGTGAAGAAAATTTTCATTACATGACTTTTTCTAAGTCAAAGAAATACCTAAGCACAAAAGTAGTGGCTCTGACAGTTACTAAATCCAACTTTCGAGTTTTTAAGAAAAAACACCAGAGGGAAAAATAGAAATGAGCTGTTACAATCTTAGGGTTTGGGTTTCATGGTTCTGGTAATTCTGAATCCTAAGTTTGAGTTAATTTTTTAGAGGAAAAAACCCAACTGTTCCCAGCATATACTCTACCCAGTTTATACTGCAAATTTGGACCATGTGCTCAGAAGATGGAGAACTCTACCTTACAATATGGTGGTTCTGTTAGGCAAGTCAAAGTCTGAATTCAATTATACTGAAGCTGTTTGAGTTGTTTAGTTCTTTAAGCCTTTTCAATCAATCCGATGAACCCAGGTTCCCAATTTTTTCATAAATGTAACATTTCTCCATAATAGTTCATTTTTTATTCATCTTTATTTCCCATCTTTTCTGCCCATCCCACTGGACAAGTAACTCAGTTTACTTTTGCTTTACTTTTATAACTCACATCAATATTGAGCCTTATAAGAATTTAAACCTTCGTCATTATAGAAACTATTTTTCTACCAATACAGACCATTTGAGGTTTTCTTAAAAACAAAACCTTAACTAAATAAACATAACAGCAATTTCTCTGCACACGTTTGTTCATGTTTAATATTTCCCCTCAAGGAACTAAGGGACAACCCATTCCTTTTATTCACCTTCAAATTAAGCAACTTCGTTAAAAACAAAAATAGGGGGAGATTAAGAGCAGAGATAGAGGGTCTTTCTTATATTCCAATCAGTTTGCAAGCAAAATCACAGAAGCAAATCACAGGTTGCTCGAACAGAACAATATATCCTTCAAGACCACGATGTACTACTTGCCCTCTGTAGCAAGCAAACTCCACTAAAAGACAGTAAGAGTGGCATCTCATCTAAGCTAATATCCCAGATCTATTAGAATACCGCTCAACCATTAGCCCCTGCTCATATTTATTACAGCTAGTGCCCCAAATCTAGTGAGTAAAACTACCAATCTAGGAAGCAGAACGATTCTACACAAACTAACCAGCAGAATTATGGATCACTGAAAAAAATGCAACCAGAATTTTGACTGCATCATTTTGCTAAAAGTATGGAACAGTTTACATACTTTACTCATTCATTAAATATATTGATCTCCAAAATCTCCATAAAATTGGTAAACACATATATAGTTAAGTCAATGTTTATTTTCCTATATACCTCGTTTGAAACGTTTATGTAATCCTATATAGATTTAAGAATTGCATTTGGACAATGGCAATATTTAACTCCCATGCTTCCTTCTATATGCACCTTCTGTCGCCAAGATACTGTAGTAAGGTGGGACATTACTTACAGAAGTTATAGAGAGACATTCAAGAGGAAACGAGAACTTATAGACTGCTAGATCCACAGCAAGTATGGACCAAGAGACGCACTACCGACATAGGAAAATATTTTTAAGCCTCCTTTTGAAAATGTAAGATATTAGTAAGGTCTGCAATGGTGTAACTTAAAAAAAGAAAAGCCCGCAGCAAAACCATGCATGCCTATTTAAAACCTCAACAATACAGTTCACTGCAACATTACACAGAGGAGATAGTCAAGCCCTTGGAGCACAGAACAATTATTTCCACTCACTTAAAAAAATTCCCCAATAATGATAATTTCCTGAAGTTTCATGGCATATATCCAGGCCTTTGGAGGGTTAATTTTTTTTCTTAAGTAGCAGAGCTGCCAATGTTTTTAGACGCTGAAGCATCTGTATTCCTGAATTTGCCCACATTTATAACAAGGGAGGAGGGGCCACGAATATTCAAGATTACCAACTTCTTTAAACCATTACTCGGATATGTCTGGGTCTTCCTGAAACTTTTGAATCTAAAATCTTTTCTGAAATCCACAAAGAAAGGTCACTAATAATCAGTTGCCATTGTGATTTGGTACCGACCGCAGCTTCTTACTACTCTTTCTTCACACCGCTCGCCCAGAACAGTGGAGCTCTCCGAAGTCCCAATGCTGGACAGGAAAAGAGAAGCCAAAGGAGATGGCAAACCCTCTTTGCAAGGCAGGAGGCGGCTTGACGGAAGCGCCCCCTGCTCCTCGGCAACTACCCACACGTCAGGCCCGGATCCCACTGGGAGAGGATATTTAAGAAAACAGAAATAAGCCGTCACCGTCACTTCGCGCGGATACCGGCCCTTCCCGCCCGGATCTCCTACCTGCCGTCGGCCCTCGCCCATCCCCAGCTCTCCCTGCCGGGGCTCGGTCCCCGAAAGGGCACCCTCTTTTCCTTGCCCGCTTCTCATTCCGACAGGCGCCGGGGCCTCATACAGGAGAGGCAGCGGGGCTCAAGGGGCTTCCTACAGGCCCGAAGTCCGGTCCTTCCTTCCCTCCCAAACAACATCCCGCCGAGCGCGCCCTGGCCCCGGGCGCGGCGTTTGGGAAGAGGGCCCCAGGCCTGCCTCCGGCCGAGGCTAAGAAGAAAAGGGAGGGAAAGAAGGGCGAAGATGGGGCCTGCCCTGGAGTCAAGTACCTTGTAGAAAGCGCCATTGGAGCCCCGCACTTCCACCACCAGCTCCTCCATCTTCTCGTCCGCCCTGCTCGCTCCGGGAGCCCGCCCCTGAGAGGTGGGCTGCGGGCGCTCGAGGCCCAGCCGCCGCTGCCGCCGCGCTGCTGCACGCCCCCCGGCAGCGGCGCCGCAGTCACCGCCGCCGCCTGCGCTCGCCGTCGGCTAACCACCCGCTCTGAGGCGGCCCCTCACCGGAAGTGAAACCGAAACGGAGCCGAGCGCCTGACTGAGGCCGAAAGCTCCGGCCGCTCCGCGTGTAAACAGTGAAACCGCATCACATGACCGACGCCGCCTCTTCCCCCAGGGTTCGGCCCCTCGGCCCCGCCCTCCTTCCCCTCGCGGGCCCAGAAGCGCGCGCCTGCGCGCTGCTGGGCAAGCACCGGGGGCCGGGCCTAACGTAAGGCGCGCGGGCTCGGCGTGCGCGGGCTCGGCGGCGGGCGGGAAGGCGGGAAGGGCGGAGACAGGTCGCGCCGCTTCGCGTCGCCTGGCGAGGACCAGAGCGCCCGTTCCTTTAGCGGGGGCAAGCCGAGGCGTGGGAAAGGGCCTCCCGTAGCAAACTAGAGTGTTCACTTATCCAAGTCCGGGCTGGCTTAGGTTGGAGGTGTTTTTGTTTTTGTTTTTTTTAAAGTGGGGCAGAGCCTAATTGAGCTGGAGGTGGAGTGGGGGACAAGAATGAAGTTGAAGAATTAGATTGAAGAAGCCTTTGAACTAGTGACAGTGGCAACCGCGGTGACTCAGGCTTGTGTGACCCTTAGAGGCTGAAGGTGAGAGTAACGCCCTCCCTTCCCCAAGAGATTTTGGGCCGTCCTGTGGATGCATTCTGTGTCCTCGGAGGGGCAGTGGAGTGTGTCAGGACCTCTGGAAGTGTTAGTCCTTCCACAGACCCAGCACTGACCCACATACTTCCCTTTTCTCGATTCAGTTTCATACTTTTACTTGACATACGTAAAAAAGAAAATGTGTTAAACACTTGTTAATTTCTTTACAGTTTATTTCCCTACTATTTCACGCCTACTGTATGCCCACCGTGCCCCAGAGGCGACCTGTCTACAAGGGCCTGTGCACCTGTTTTCTTGCAGCTCTTTCCCTTTACCCTCCATAGTACAGCAAACCCCAGTTCTTTCTCATTCCTGCTTCTGCATCCTGCTTGTATCCACCTTGACCTAGGTTTCCTTTGGAAGGCTTGTATTCAACTGAGAAGTTTATTGAGCCCCTACTATATGCCAGACACCGTGCTGAGTGCTAGTGAGACATAGGTCAGAGCTGGGAAATGACTCCAGCTGGAATGTGACCAGTGAGAGTTAACTGGCAGCACAGAGTTGGTGGAGGCGGGTTGAACCGCCCCAGGCAGGTGCCCCAGAATGCGAGGCATCCTTGGGCCTCCAGTTCCCTTCCCACCCCACTCCTAGCCAGAGCAGCAGCATTGCTGCTGGTGGAACTCCAGCATGAAAGCCTCAGATCAAGGGCCACATTCCTTGAGGCCATGGTAAACAGGGATGATCTATTGAACTAGGGTTTCTGGAGTAGTCACAAGATGCAAAGATTCCAAGGAGGCTGAAAGAGAATCTCACCAGTTGGCTGCATGGAAGCAGAGCAGAGCATGAGCTTTAACCCCAGTGTAGTAAAGGGGGACAGATTGATTAGAATGGTTATACCTTCCACGTGTAGGGTGTTGTTCAAATATTCAAATAGTACTAGCTCTTCATAACCACTACAAGCTGCACTAAACCTGGTGGTGTTCCCTGAACCGCTGATGCACTTTCATGCCTTCATGTCTCCCCATGCTTCTTGGCCCCCTGAAATATTCTTCTCATTAGGGTTATTGGCTGGATTCCCATTAGCTTGTTATTTGTATCTCAGGTGCAGAGAGTTAACTTTGCTCCTCAATTCTCAGCACATTGTCATCATCAGTCCCTGCAAGGCCCCTCTCTTATTTATATTATTTTACATTGTTTAAATTATTTGTCCTCGTCTTTCTCAATACCCACTCTCATTCTTCTTCTAGACACAAGCTGCAATATGTTTGATATAGATCCTTGATCATTTAAGACATGCGGTGTTTTGTGTACGCCTTTTACATTTACAAAGATGGTGCTGGGCTGTAAATCTCTGTTTCCCACTGTTTTCACTCAACACTGTGTTCTTGAGCTATATCCACATTGCTGTGATTTCCCTAGTGATGGGCGTCTAGGTTACTGCCAACTCCCTGATGTCACACTGTGGTGAAAATCCTTGTGAATGTCTTTACAAACCTTTGCAAGAATTTCTTTTGTGCTCTTAAAGAACTTTGTACACACCTCCTGCTTCCTCACCATACTGCTTGGCATATAGCAGGGACTTGGTAAATGTTGAATACGTCACCCATGATGCTTAATATACTAGCATCACTTATTTATGTTTCTGTTTTCCTCGTTGGACTGTTAGTTCCTTACAGGCAGGAAAGACGTCTTATTTATCTTTGTGTCCCTGGCACACTCAAAGTGGTTGATTTTAGGAAATGTTGGATGAATGAATGCATGCCTATCCTCACTACCTGTATGTGCTATGATTTCGTCTTTGCCCACTTAACTCTGAGTCTCAGCTCAGCTGAATTCAGACACAGGCTCAGCCCCGCTCATCAGCTTGTTCCTCCCACATTCTTCTCTCTCTCTCTCTCTCACTGGCAACCCCTTCTTCAGGGTGGTTGCTTAGGCCTAAAACTCGGTCATTTTGACCTTCTCTTTCTCTCACACGTTGAATCCATCAACAAATCCTTTCAGAGTCCACAATCTATTTCTCACCACTTGTGCTGCTAAAACCATGGTCCAAGTCCCTATCCTCTTTTACCTGGATTATTGTAACAATTTCACTGGTTTCCCTGCAGCCACTCTTATCCTCTGTCTATTCTCAACACAGAGACAGACCCTATTCAGGTGTCAATCAAGTCACTCTGCTATTCAAAACCTTCCAATTGTACCCTAAATGCCTCAGGGTAAAGGCCAAAGTCCTTATTAATTCTGGCCTCAGTGCCCTTCACCCACTGGCCTCTGTTATCTCCTTGATCTCACCTTCTACCTCCTCCCTTCACTCCATTCCAGCCATACTGGCTTCTTTGCTGTTTCTTGAAAACATCAGGTAAGTTCTGTCTCCTATCACTAGAATATAAGCTCAGTGAGAACAGAGATTTTTGTTTCTTTTATCCACTGCTTGTCCCCAGTGCCTACCACAGTGTTTGGAACATAGCAGGTGCCTACTGATTTATGAAATGAATGAATAAATGAATGAATATGTGTTGAGGATGCAGCTTGGGTCAAATCTGTTCCCGTGCTTATATTTATCCGATATTGGAATGATGCTTCAGCACCTCTAGACTTGCCTTGGCCCCTAGCTTCCATTAAATTGTTGCCTGTTGTCTTTGCATTGATTTATTCTGTGTTATTTCCTGCTCCTTCGAAATTTGAGCCCTTTGAATCTTTTTCATGCCTCAATCCCAGCTAAAATGCCCTTTGCCCTTTCCAACTCTAGAAATCCTATGGGCCCGCTTGGAGCCAGCTAAAACCTCACTTCTTTCATGACACGTTCTCTGACAATCTCACTTCACTTTGACGTCTCCTTTGAACTAGATATTAGAAAAAAAATTAAATAATAGTCTTTATGTTTTAGAACAGTTTTAGACTCACAGGAATATCAAGCAGATAGTAGACAGTTCGCACATCAGTTCCCTGGTATCTCCCTCCCAGTTTCCTCTATTGTTCACATCTTGCATTACTGTGGTTTATTTGCTATCATTGATGAGCCAAATTGATATATTTTATTAGCCAAAGTCCATACATTAGTTTACATTAAGGTTCACTCTTTGTGTTGTATAGTGTATGGGTTTTGACAAATGCATAATGTCATGCACCCCCCCATTATAGTATCATATAGAATAGTTCCACCACCCTAAAAATTCCCTGGGCTCCACCTATTTATTCATCAGCTCGACCCCCTAACCCTAGGCAACCACTGATCTTTTTACTATCTCCATAGATTTGCCTTTTCCAGAATGTCATAGAATTGGAATCATCCAGTATGGGGCCTTTTCACATTGGTTTCTTTCACTTAGCAATAGCATTTAAGGTTCCTCCATGTCTTTTCATGGTTTGATAGCTCATTTCTTGTCAGGGAAGAATGATATTCTATTGTCTGGATGTATCACAGCTTATTTATCCATTCGCCTACAGAAAGACATCTTGATTGCTTCCAAGTTTGGGCAATTACGAATGGAGCTGCTATAAGCATCCATGTGCAGGTTTTTGTATGGACGTAAGTGTTCACCTCATATGGGTAAATACCTAGGAGTGTGATCTCTGGATCCCATGGTAAGAGTATGTTTAGTTTTCTAAGAAACCGCCAAACTGTCTTCCACAGTGGCTGGACCATTTTGCACTCCCACCAGCGATGAATGAGAGTTCCTGTTGCTCCACAGCCTCGCCAGCCCAACCCAACTTTTGGTGCTGTCAGTGTTCTGGATGTTGGCCATTCTAACAGGTGTGCAGTGGCATCTCGTTGTTTTAATTCGCAATTCCCTAATGACTTATGATGCTGAACATCTTTTCATATGCTTATTGCCATCTGTATATATTCTTTGAGAAGGTCTCTGTTCAGATCTTTTGCCCATTTTGAAATTGGGTTGTTTTCTTATTGGTGAGTATTGATAGTCCTTTGTATATTTTGGATACCAGCTCTTTATCAGATTGTGTTTTGCAAATATTTTCTCCCAGTCTGTGGCTTGTCTTTTCATTCACCTAACAGTCTTTCACAGAGTAGAGGTTTTTAATTAAAAAGTCCAACTTAATCAGTTTTTTTCTTTCATGGATCATGCTTTTGGTATTGTACCCCAAAAGTCATCACCAAACCTAAGTTCACCTAGATCTTCTCCCTTGTCATCTTCTAGAAGTTTATAGTTTTGTGTTTTACATTTACGTCTGTGATCCATTTTGAGTTAATTTTTGTGAAATGTATAAGGTCTGTGTCTAGACTTATTTATTTTATTTTTTATATGCATAAAATAAAATGCATATGGATGTCTAATCATTCTTAGGTCTTCTTTGATTTCTGTCTTCAAGGTTTTGTAGTGTTCCTCATATAGATACTGTACATATTTTATAAGATTTATGCCTAAGTATCTCATTTTTTTTGGTGCTCCTGTAAGTGGTGTTGTATTTTTAATTTCAAATTCCAATTGTTCATTGCTGGTATATAAATCTCCCTCTAACCACTGCTTTTGCTGTATCCCAT